ACAAAAACCAAACAAAAACCAATCAAAAAACAAACAAAAAACAAACAAAAACCAAACAAAAACCAATCAAAAAACAAACCAAAAACAAACAAAACCAAACAAAAAACAAACAAAAAGCACACAAAAAACAAACAAAAAACAAACAAACAAACAACCAACCAACCAACAAACAAACAAACAAACAAACAAAACAACAAACAAACCAACAAACAACAGCAAACAACAACAAACCAACAAACAACAACAAACGACAACAAACAACAACAAACAACAACAAACAACAACAAACAACAAACCAACAAACAACAACAAACAACAACAAACAACAAACCAACAAACAACAACAAACAACAAGCAACAACAAACAACAACAAACAACAACAACAACGACAACAACAACAAGAACAAACAAACAAACAATACAACACAAACAACTCAAACAAACAAACAAACAAACATAGCAAACAACCAAACAAACAAACAACAAACAAACAAACCAACAAACAAACAAAAAACAAAAACACCAACAAACAAACAACAAACAAAACAACAAACAACAAACAACAAACAAACAAACAAACAACAAACAAACAACAATACAAACAAACAAACAAACAACAACAAACAAATCATAACAAACAAACAACAAACAAACAACCAAACAACACAACAAACAACAAACAACAAACAAACAACAAACAAGACAAACAAACAAACAAACAAACAAACAAACAAACAAACAAACAAACACACACACACAAACAAACAAACAAACAAACAAACAAACAAACAAACAAACAAACAAACAAACAAACAAACAAACAAACAAACAAACAAACAAACAACCAAACAAACAAACAAACAAACAAACAAACAAACAAACAAACAAACAAACAAACAAACAAACAAACAAACAAACAAACAAACAAACAAACAAACAAACAAACAAACAAACAAACAAACAAACAAACAAACAAACAAACAAAAAAACAAACAAACAAACAAACAAACAAACAAACAAACAAACAAACAAACAAACAAACAAACAAACAAACAAACAAACAAACAAACAAACAAACAAACAAACAAACAAACAAACAAACAAACAACAACAAACAACAACAAACAACAACAACAAACAACAAACAAACAACAACAAACAACAACAAACAACAACAAACAACAACAACAAACAACAACAAACAACAACAACAGCAACAGCAACAGCAACAGCAACAACAACAACAACAACAACAACAACAACATCAACAACAACTACAACTACAACTATTACCGTAACTGCAACTACAATTACAACTACACTACACTAAGTACACTGCAGCACACTACAACTACAAATACAACTGCAACTACAACCACACTACAATACACAACACTACACTACACTGATTACACTGATTACACTGATTACACTGATTACACTGATTACACTGCATTACACTGCATTACACTGCATTACACTGCATTACACTACAACAACAACAACAACTACTACTACTACTGCTACTGCTACTACTACTACTACTACTACTACTACTACTACAACTACAACTACAACTGCAGCTGCAACCGCAACTGCAACTGCAACTGCAACTGCAACTCCAACTGCCACTGCCACTACCACTACCACTACCACACTACACTACACTACGCTACGCTACACCACACCACACCACACCACACCCCACCCCACCCCACCCCACCACACCACACCACACCACACTACACTAACTACACTACACTACACTACACTACACTACACTACACTACACTACACTACACTACACTACACTACACTACACTACACTACACTACACTACACTACACTACACTACACTACACTACACTACACTACACTACACTACACATACTACACTACACTACACTACACTACCTACACTACACATACTAGACTACACTACACTAGACTACACTAATTACACTAAATTACACTACAACTACAACTACACTACACTACACTACGCTCCAGTACACTACACTAATTACACTGCGCCACACTACAATTACAACCACACTACCTTACACTAGGCTACACTACACTACACAACACTACACGACATTACGCTGCACTACACTGCACTAATTACACCACACCACGACTACAACTGCAACTGCACTTGCAAATACACTAATTACACTACATTACAGCTACAGCTCCACTACACTACACTACAACCACAGCTACAACTGCAACTACAACTACAACTGCACTACACCACACTACATCCAGCAGTTGTGAGTGAGGTGACCGCTGCAACCATTGCAACCAAAAGCACAACTCCAACCACCTGTCGGTCCATCAGTGGATTGGCTCTGCCAGCCATGATTCACAACAACCAACCTCTCCTATAGGTTTCCTATTTTTGAACCTTCCGCCGCCGCCTTGTGCGGCACTACTGGCACTAGAACTTGCACATGTCCACCGCTCATGCATAACGCCCAAGAGCCAAAGGGCCCGTTCTCAGGCAGAAACGAATCAACGGCAAAGTGCTGAAGCAACTTGGCGGAGTTTATGCAGACGAGGGGATGACGACTTGGACAACAAGATGTCTGTAGATCAGTAGGTCTTATAGCAGTCGTTGTTGCAGACATCCAACTCAGGTTGAAGTTGACAGTGCCCAAATCCTCCAAGCCTGCGGCACAGCATGGAATTGATGCCGCTCTTGATCTGCAGTCGGAAGACAGGAGACGTCCTACAGCCTCCTACAATCCTTCAGCTCATCCAGAAAGATACAAGAATGGTGCTGCTGTGCTGCCGTGCTGCCGTGCTGCCGTGCTGCCTGACGTTTGCGAGGACTGCAGCTCCGGCCCCAAGCACAGCTACTGTGGACACTGCCCAGCCAGCAGCCCAGATTGAATCGGACAGCTCTCCTTTGCCTGGCTCTTTTGATGCCAACTTGCCCAAGTTTTGCCATGCCGCTGTTTCCCTCTCGCTTCGTTCAATATTTACTCAGCAGAGATGTTTTCCATTCCCGCCCGGCTTTGGTCTCTCCGCCTCTGTTTGTCAAGCGCATCGAACAGAACGACAGCATTTGCAGAATAATTCGGAAGAGATCATACTCGTTTATGAACGAAAACACATTTGGCCCCTTTGCAGCAAACAATTTGCATCTTGTGTGCATGATCTTTCTTACTGAGGCCTCCGGTTTCAATGCCCGATCAGAAGGAGGACGTTGAAAGATTCGCAGGGCTTTATGTGTCGAACATTATGTGGAATTTGTTACGTTCTTTTGGTAACATAGTTATACAGTATACAATAAAGGCTAGTTGCTTTTTGCGAACGAAGTGAGAATAGGGGGTCTGGGGGGGGGTAGCTGTCTCAAGGGGCCGAAAACGGCGTAAATACTTGTAGGTGGTGTTTTAGGGTCGCGCAAAGTATGGTTTTGCAGGGTGATGTACCAGGCGGCAAAACAGTGACGGTGGGTATCGATTCCCCCTAGGTCCGGTTTTCTGGGTTTTCTGGGCTCAGTCAATGGACAGATAGATGGGCCAGCTAGTTTGAGGAGATTGGAGAGAGCAGGACATTGGGTGAAAAGTATGTGCAAGAAGGGTTTCTGGGTGAAGAGTCTCTGGGTGAAAAGTATATGGGTGAAAAGTATGTACAAGAAGAGTTTCTGGGTGAAAAGTATGTGCAAGAAGAGTTTCTGGGTGAACAGTCTCTGGGTGAAAAGTATATGGGTGAAAAGTATGTGCAAGAAGAGTTTCTGGGTGAAGAGTCTCTGGGTAAAAAGTATATGAGTGAAAAGTATGTGCAAGAAGAGTTTCTGGGTGAAGAGTCTCTGGGTAAAAAGTACATGGGTGAAAAGTATGTGCAAGAAGAGTTTCTGGGTGAAGAGTCTCTGGGTGAAAAATCTGTGCAAGAAGAGTTTCTGGGTGAAGAGTCTCTGGGTGAAAAGTATATGGGTGAAAAGTATGTGCAAGAAGAGTTTCTGGGTGAAGAGTCCCCGGGTGAAAAGTATATGGGTGAAAAGTATGTGCAAGAAGAGTTTCTGGGTGAAGAGTCTCTGGGTGAAAAGTATATGGGTGAAAAGTATGTGCAAGAAGAGTTTCTAGGTGAAGAGTCTCTGGGTGAAAAGTATATGGGTAAAAAGTATATGGGTGAAAAGTAAAATTGAGGCTCCGATGTGGGACCATTATATGTGCAAGAAAAGTTTCTGGGTGAAGAGTCTCTAGGTGAAAAGTATATGGGTGAAAAGTATGTGCAAGAAGAGTTTCTGGGTGAAGAGTCTCTGGGTGAAGAATCTGTTGGTGAAGAGTCTCTGGGTGAAAAGTATGTGCAAGAAGAGTTTCTGGGTGAAGAGTCTCTGGGTGAAAAGTATATGGGTGAAAAGTGTGTGCAAGAAGACTTTCTGTGTGAAGAGTCTCTGGGTGAAAAGTATATGGGTGAAAAGTATGTGCAAGAAGAGTTTCTGGGTGAAGAGTCTCTGGGTGAAAAGATGTGAACAGTATATTGGTGAAAAGTATGTGCAAGAAGAGTTTCTGGGTGAAGAGTCTCTGGGTGAAAAGTATGTGCAAGAAGAGTTTCTGGGTGAAGAGTCTGTGGGTGAAAAGTATATGGGTGAAAAGTATGCGCAAGAAGAGTTTCTGGGTGAAGAGTTTCTGGGTGAAAAGTATATGGGTGAAAAGTATGTGCAAGAAGAGTTTCTGGGTGAAGAGTCTCTGGGTGAAAAGTATATGGGTGAAAAGTATGTGCAAGAAGAGTTTCCGGGTGAAGAGTCTCTGGGTGAAAAGTATATGGGTGAAAAGTATGTGCAAGAAGAGTTTCTGGGTGAAGAGTCTCTGGGTGAAAAGTATATGGGTGAAAAGTATGTGCAAGAAGGGTTTCTGGGTGAAAAGTATGTGAAAGAAGAGTTTCTGGTTGAAAAGTATGTGCAAGAAGAGTTTCTGGGTGAAGAGTCTCTGGATGAAAAGTATATGGGTGAAAAGTATGTGCAAGAAGAGTTTCTGGGTGAAGAGTCTCTGGGTGAAAAATATATGGGTGAAATGTCTGTGCAAGAAGAGTTTCTGGGTGAAGAGTCTCTGGGTGAAAAGTATATGGGTGAAAAGTATGTGCAAGAAGAGTGGGTGAAGAGTCCCTGGGTGAAAAGTACATGAGTAAAATGTATGTGCAAGAAGAGTTTCTGGGTGAAAAGTTTCTGGGTAAAAAGTATATGGGAGAAAAGTATGTGCAAGAAGAGTTTCTGGGTGAAGAGTATTTGGGTGAAAAATCTGTGCAAGAAGAGTTTCTGGGTGAAGAGTCTCTGCCTGAAAGGTATGTGCAAGAAGAGTTTCTGGGTGAAGATTCTCTGGGTGAAAAGTATATTGGTGAAAAGTCTGTGCAGGAAGAGTTTCTGGGTGAAAAGTATATGGGTGAAAAGTATGTGCAAGAAGAGTTTCTTGGTGAAGAGTCTCTGGGTGAAAAGTATGTGGATGAAAAGTATTTGCAAGAAGAGTTTCTGGGTGAAGAGTCTCTGCCTGAAAAGTACGTGCAAGAAGAGTTTCTGGGTAAAAAGTATATTGGTGAAAAGTATGTGCAAGAAGAGTTTCTGGGTGAAGAGTTCCTGGGTGAAAAGTATCTGGTTGAAAAGTATGTGCAAGAAGAGTTTCTGGGTGAAGAGTCTCTGGGTGAAAAATATATGGGTGAAAAGCATGTGCAAGAAGAGTTTCTGGGTGAAAAGTCTGTGCAAGAAGAGTTTCTGGGTGAAGAGTCTCTGGGTGGGTGAAAAGTATGTGCAAGAAGAGTTTCTGGGTGAAGAGTCTCTGGGTGAAAAGTATGTGCAAGAAGAGTTCCTGGGTGAAGATTCTTTGGGTGAAAAGTTTATGGGTGAAAAGTATGTGCGAGAAGAGTTTCTTGGTGAAGAGTTTCTGGGTGAAAAGTATATGAGTGAAAAGTATGTGCAAGAAGAGTTTCTGGGTGAAGAGTCTCTGGGTGAAAAGTATATGGGTGAAAAAGTATGTGCAAGAAGAGTTTCTGGGTGAAGAGCCTCTGGGTGAAAAGTGTATGGGTGACAAGTATGTGCAAGAAGAGTTTCTGGGTGAAGAGTCTCTGGGTGAAAAGTATATTGGTGAAAAGTATGTGCAAGAAAAGTTTCTGGGTAAAGAGTTCCTGGGTGAAAAGTATATGGTTGAAAAGTATGTGCAAGAAGAGTTTCTGGGTGAAGAGTCTCTGGGTGAAAAGTATATGGGTGAAAAGTATGTGCAAAAAGAGTTTCTGGGTGAAGAGTCTCTGGGTGAAAAGTATATGGGTGAAAAGTATGTGCAAGAAGAGTTTCTGGGTGAAGAGTCTCTGGGTGAAAAGTACATGGGTGAAAAGTATGCGCAAGAAGAGTTTCTGGGTGAAAAGTGTATTGGTGAAAAGTATGTGCAAGAAGAGTTTCTGGGTGAAGAGTCTCTGGGTGAAAAATATATGCAAGAAGAGTTTCTGGGTGAAGAGTCTCTGGGTGAAGAGTCTCTGGGTGAAAAGTATATGGGTGAAAAGTATGTGCAAGAAGAGTTTCTGGGCGAAAAGTATATGGGTGGAAAGTATATGCAAGAAGGGTTTCTGGGTGAAGAGTCTGTGGGTGAAAAGTATATGGGTGAAAAGTATGTGCAAGAAGAGTTTCTGGGTGAAGAGTCTCTGGGTGAAAAGTATATTGGTGAAAAATATGTGCAAGAAGAGTTTCTGGGTGAAGAGTCCATGGGGGAAAAATCTATTGGTGAAGTATGTACAAGAAGAGTTTCTGGGTGAAGAGTCTCTGGGTGAAGAATATATGGGTGAAAAGCATGTGCAAGAAGAGTTTCTGGGTGAAAAGTCTGTGCAAGAAGAGTTTCTGGGTGAAGAGTCTCTGGGTGAAAAGTATGTGGATGAAACGTATGTGCAAGAAGAGTTTCTGGGTGAAGAGTCTCTGGATGAAAAGTATATGGGTAAAAAGTATGTGCGAGAAGAGTTTCTGGGTGAAGAGTCTATGGGTGAAAAGTATGTGGGTGAAGAGTATTTGAAAGAAGAGTTCCTGGGTGAAGAGTCTGTGGGTGAAAAGTATATGGGTGAAAAGTATGTGCAAGAAGAGTTTCTGGGTGAAAAGTCTGTGCAAGAAGAGTTTCTGGGTGAAAAGTATGTGCAAGAAGGGTTTCTGGGTGAAGAGTCTGTGGGTGAAAAGTATATGGGTAAAAAGTATGTGTAAGAAGAGTTTCTGGGTGAAAAGTCTGTGCAAGAAGAGTTTCTGGGTGAAGAGTCTCTGGGTGAAAAGTATATGGGTGAAAAGTATGTGCAAGAAGGGTTTCTGGGTGAAGAGCCTGTGGGTGAAAAGTCTATGGGTGAAAAGTATGTGCAAGAAGAGTTTCTGGGTGAAGAGTCTCTGGGTGAAAAGTATATCCGTTAAAAGTATGTGCAAGAAGAGTTTCTGGGTGACGAGTCTCTGGGTGAAAAGTATATCGGTGAAAAGCACGTGCAAGAAGGGTTTCTGGGTGAAGAGTCTCTGGGTGAAAAATATGGGGGAAACTAGGGTTAAATGGGATGCTGGCTTTCGTTCCCCCCTTCTCAGGTAGGCTATATAATAGATTTATATAGAGTAGATTCAACACACTATTCCTACATACATTCGGTTTGTTCATCGTACTTCCTGATGAGCACGCTGCAAATGAAGCATGCTTCCATCCCCCTTATGTGATTGTGTCCCAGCGCCCATGTCGAGAGATGGAGGCTGTTTGACGATTTATCTGAGCTAGAGCAATGTCGCAGGACCCCTTCCCTTGGCTTTGGAAAGGAAAGGCCAAAGGAAAGGCCAAAGGAAAGGGCAAGAAAGGCAAACACATGAAGGGCCACAGCCAAAGCGCAATTCCTGAAAGCCAAGCAGAAGAAAGTGCCCATGGGTCGCCTCCCAACAACCAGCCTGGGCCTCAGAAATATATCAGTTGCGATGGATGAAGGTTGATATTTGCCGCACTTGAGGTGTCAGGAGCCCTCTGCCAGCTCGATGAAGCAGGACTTGACCGGCTCAACAAAAGATCTGATGCGTCTGTTTTGCCAGCAGGCTCTTTTTATGTGGCCACACAACCAGACACCGCCACGTAAACTGTTTTCTGCCATAGACAATCGAAACAAGTGCGGGTGTGGGCAGATTCTCAACTGCAGGAGACTTGTGGCAATGCAGCTGGCCCGGGAGTTTGCGGTCTTTGGCCTAGACTGGAACGGTATGAAGTCTGATGAACTCTGTAGCGTTTGCATTCCGGAATCAAAAGATCAGGACATCGCGGTGGTGCATGGAGACTCTTGTGTACACTGCGTGTGCTTCTGGTGCCTTGTAGCAATTTGGCCATGACAAAACGGCAGGCAAATGTTCATCTCTTTGCAGAGCGAGATTTGATTTTCAACTGGGGCAGCTTGAAGGTCTCTTGTTACCACAACCGAGGAAGTGGGACTGCTGACACCGACACTCTTTGCCTCCTTGGCAGTGTCTTGCTGTCCTGCTTTCAACAAGTAGCCCTTGCTTGTAGTATGAACGACACTGATTCTGCAATGATGTCGATGATACTGCTGAAGCTGCCAGGCACTGGCTTCCGTTCCTGATCAAGCGCGTAGCTGCGAAGGTCGATAAGTCTGGTGCCGATTTTTTTCAGTTTGAGCTCTAAACCAAAACCTGCATGAAGATACGAAAGGATTGTCTTGTTGGCGTGCACCGGCGGGCACTGGCGTGGGCTGGTGTGCGCTGGCATAAGTGCCTGTTGGCTTAGGATCAACCGAATGGCCGCAGAAGGTCTTGACCCAACACTGGAAAAGATGCTGAAGATCATCCAGGACCCTGGCGGGATGGTGTGAGGCAGCATATCCTTGACCACATGGATATCTTGGATTCAACACATTCAATTTATGCTCCAATGTAGGGTTTTTGTTGAGTGCTATCGAACGAGCTCTGTCACGCAAGGAACAGGCTGCAGCCACTCCGGGACTGGAGCAGCATTCCACCGCGCTTGCTCAGGTGGGAGTTCAAATCACTGCGGACTCTGAGGGGTCTGAGAGGGTCTGAGAACCCTTGGGAGTCTATGGCTTTACTTGTGAGGCATTGAATGCCAACACTGCCAAGAGGCCGGAAGAGAAGGGTGACCCACCATGTCTCTGGCTCACCACACTGGGCTCTAGGAACCAGTGGTTTTTGAACTTTGAACTTTCACTGTTTGGAAATGATCTTCACTTGTCGTCTTCTGTTTGATTCCTGTTTCTGTGAAGGCACCTGGGTGAAGCCCTGCTTGAACTGCTGCAAGCCCTGAATGGACTTGACGTCGAGGCCGGAAGCACTGCTGAAGGAAGTGGTGTTTTCGCCTGTTTTCTGTCTTCATTTTGCGACCTTTGCCAGGTGCAGACCCAGTTCTGCGAAAGCTTGGCTTCTGCTTTGCTGCCCTGTTTGGAGGACGAGCTATCGTTTCTGAGCAAGTACATTCAGGTAAGCCTCCCAAAGAGTAGTTCTTGTTTCCAATTTCTCAAGCTTTATGTTGAAACCTTTGGAATTTCTTTTGACAGCATGAATCTGGGCAAATTATAAAGGCCTCATTGCGACCTCATTGAAATCATGGCTAATAAGGGGAATCACCCCAAAATGGCTTTATTTCAGGTTAGTGAATTATTATAATTTGCCAGATGTTACTTTTTGCCATTTGAACAAAGAGTGGCTTATGGGCATGTCACCTGAAGGGGGGTGAATTTGCAGCATTGAATCTCCAACTATCGAAAGAGGTCAAAGAGTAAGCACCATTGTCTTTACGATGTTGCATGGCTCATATTGTGCAGTGGAAGGCTGCCTTTCCGCGCTCTTTCGAGTCTTTGATCAATTTATGTTGCAGGGACTGTCAAGAACATGCCGGCCTCACAACTCAACCTGAAATATCTCCGGCAAAACCCAAGTAGGTAAACTGGAAATAAGTCAAGAAGAGGCTGGCAGGGCATTTGATCGTTCAAGGAGAGCTGCCCAAGTGGAGTCGGTCCGCGGGTCTGGGGCAGTGCTCTTACTTTCGAAGCTGAGACTGCTTCCGCGATTTGATGAGTGCTGTGCATATGCTGTGCATTTTGCTGAGTTTTTCGCCTATCCGCTGTCCGCAATGCATTTGATTTATTTATGTCCACAGATTTGAACACATTTCCTGTTTTGTGCTAGTGCCTCAGGTGCTGCTGCAAACCCTGGCGCTCCATGGCGATTCTTGTGCACATTGCACACTCTTCCGGCACCTTGCCTTGAGCATTCTGCCGAAGTGTAACGACTGTAACGACCTAGGCGCAAGAGTGTTGTGGAGTTCACCTTGACCATCCTTGAACATCCTTGACCCATGAGCCACCGCAACCGAGGAAGTGGGACTGCTGACACCTACACTCTTTGCCTCCTTGGCAGTGTCTTGCTGTCCTGCTTTCAACAAGTAGCCCTTGCTTGTAGTATGAACGACACTGATTCTGCAATGGTGTCGATGATACTGCTGAAGCTGCCAGGCACTGGCTTCCGTTCCTGATCAAGCGCGTAGCTGCGAAGGTCGATAAGTCTGGTGCCGATTTTTTTCAGTTTGAGCTCTAAACCAAAACCTGCATGAAGATACGAAAGGATTGTCTTGTTGGCGTGCAGCGGCGGGCACTGGCGTGGGCTGGTGTGCGCTGGCATAAGTGCCTGTTGGCTTAGGATCAACCGAATGGCCGCAGAAGGTCTTGACCCAACACTGGAAAAGATGCTAAAGATCATCCAGGACCCTGGCGGGATGGTGTGAGGCAGCATATCCTTGACCACATGGATATCTTGGATTCAACACATTCAATTTATGCTCCAATGTAGGGTGTTTGTTGAGTGCTATCGAACGAGCTCTGTCACGCAAGGAACAGGCTGCAGCCACTCCGGGACTGGAGCAGCATTCCACCGCGCTTGCTCAGGTGGGAGTTCAAATCACTGCGGACTCTGAGGGGTCTGAGAGGGTCTGAGAACCCTTGGGAGTCTATGGCTTTACTTGTGAGGCATTGAGTGCCAACACTGGCGAGAGGCTGGAAGAGAAGGGTGACCCACCATGTCTCTGGCTCACCACACTGGGCTCTAGGAACCAGTGGTTTTTGAACTTTGAACTTTCACTGTTTGGAAAGAATCTTCACTTGTCGTCTTCTGTTTGATTCCTGTTTCTGTGAAGGCACCTGGGTGAAGCCCTGCTTGAACTGCTGCAAGCCCTGAACGGACTTGACGTCGAGGCCGGAAGCACTGCTGAAGGAAGTGGTGTTTTCGCCTGTTTTTTGTCTTCATTTTGCGACCTTTGCCAGGTGCAGACCCAGTTCTGCGAAAGCTTGGCTTCTGCTTTGCTGCCCTGTTTGGAGGACGAGCTATCGTTTCTGAGCAAGTGCAATGTCTCAAACTTTATGTCTTTCTTTGGAATTTCTTTGGACAGCACGAATGCTTCGCATTTGCATGACTTTTTGCCATTTGAACAAAGAGGCCTTGTTTACGGACATGCAACCGGAAGGGCAATGGCACTGGCTGAAAAACTGAAGAGATACTGTTATATTTTAAGTCATTTCGACATGCGCGGAGTTCGAGTCCTGTAGCCGATCAGGAGCCGCACTGTTGGTGGAAAACGTGGAAAGGCAAAGGCTGCGGAAAGGGCAAGAAAGGCAAACACATGTGGAAGGGATGCCACTTCCCCGATCCGAGCCAAGCTGAGCCCGCTGCAGCTGAGGAGTCAGGAACCCTGGAACTTCAGTCAACTTCTAGGGATATCAACAGCCTGTAGAACATCAGTGGAAGTCACTGGAAGTCTGCAAGAACGACTGACTATACATGTCTATACATAACAAAGACTAGCAAAGTCAACTCGCCCGGTTGCCAGTCCTGAGGCCCGAAGGGCCTGATTCATCGCAGGCGGAGAACATTCTTTCAGTTCTTTCGCCTTCAAGTTTTAGTTCCACGTTGACCAGATGTTAATCGATGTCTGGCAAAATGACAAGTCTCCGAAGTCTCCTACAATTCC